TATAGGGAGTTTATCTTAAAAATTGATGAGACAATATGCCCTTATTAAAGCAGCCATGTTAGGAAAAAAAAGTCATACCTGTTTAAGGTTCACTCCTGACTGAATGAAGTCTGACAAAACCATATATTGCAATAGAACAAGATCATCCCTCCAAGCCCCAATTTTTAAAATCTCTTAGACACAAAAAGCTAGTTTGCAGAATCGGATAAATACAACTGTTTGCAAATAAAGTTTGGCAAGTGCCTATGAACTTGCATGATTGGAGCACAAATTGTTGAGTGGATTGTTAGTCATTCACCTCTATCCTCTTCCTTCGAAATAGAAGGAGCAGGTTAAACAGCACAGGAGCATGAGCAGAGCACACACACAGAAGCCGAATTTATCCACACCAAGTGTACTAACTTAGCTGGGAAACGATCAAGATTTGGCACTGCCTTTATAACACTAATAGGGTGCAATCTCAAAATTTGGCCCAGGGTGTCCTACCTCCTTAGCCCACTCCTGAGAAGGTGCACCTACTGAACTAGCCACAGGAGGGCTCCACTGAGGCTCCCAGCACATCATTCCAGCCTGCCCGGAACTGGGCACAGGAGGCAGCTGGTTAGAATGGGAAATGACCCAGTCGCCAAGCACAGTTATTCAAGCAAGATGCAAAAGCTGCGTTATAAAAGGGTTTAAAAGTTTTGAAATACCGCAGCACAGTTAATAACAGAAACAATTTACTGAAGCTTTTCCCACATCACACTCAGTTTTAAAACACAGGAACAAGGAAAGACCAGTGTCGTTGCCTACCTTTTGTCTAGAACTGCCTGCAAAACCAAGGTAACATATTTCACGTGTCACACAGGACACTTGTGCGTGTGCAGCCCAAAGGCTGATGTCTGCTACAGCAAATCTGCTTTGCACAGTTATTACACACCACTTCTATCAGAACAACACTTGAGTCTGTGCTCCATCCAAATCCCCCATCTGCCCTCAGCTCCACAGGAGTGTCAACAGTTTTCACCCTTAAAGTCCAAGAACAGAGACAAAGACAAGGTACAAAAAATACCAAGTTGCAAGAGTGAGAGTTGGAAAGTGAACAACATGACAGCACCCTGTGCTAGAACTCCACAACTTAAGTTCCAGATGCATAGTACCTTCTCTGGAGGAAAAAATAGGCCAAACAGACCCATGTCTTTGATTTCTTCCCACCAGTTTTCAAATTTACAGATTTTTTTTTTATAGACAAAAAAAACAAAACAAAAAAAACAACAAAAAAAACCCAAAAAAACAAAATACAATGTGGAACACGGGGTGGGGGTGGACACAGTACCTCTCAAATACTGACAGCAGCAATGGCACTCTGAGATTGAAAGAAGAGATGTTTTGGAAACACCTAGTATAACAAGCATAATTTGCAGCCTAGGTGTTTGGGATCCTCCCCCAAAAGCTGTGTAATCTTTGTTCACAATTATAAACTGCTTAATCCAGTCCCTTCGTACAAAGAACAAAAGTGATTTTCCAGTGCAATTCGAGGACACTCAGACAACAGGACTCGGCTTTCTCCACTTTTCCAGCCCTGGCTTTCCACACCTTTCTGTATGCATGCTCAAAGTCAAGCACTTAATTTTCTTCTAAATAAAATCAGCATTTTTCAGGCATTCTGCCAGAACGGCAAAATCAGCAGGATTACAACAAAGTGAGTGCAGCAGGAATTTAAAGAGTAAAGGCAGAATATCCCATCACCTGAAAAGTGCTGATAATGATGGCAACCGAGCAGGAGAACCACTTGGAGTATTTAATCTGGCTGTGGTACAGATTAATTAGATACTGTCTTTAAAGTGCTTTGAACATGAAAAGCACAAGATAAACGTGTTATCTTCAGCCTCATCACCACCACTATGCCTAATCCTACCTAACGGTATACAGCATCTTATAAACTTCTGCTGTTACACCGGGCTATTAAAATAGAGAACCGGTTCCATCCTTCCATGGCCTCTTGCAAAACCATGACCAGGTTTCACACTGATCAATCGTTCAAGCGGTTTGAAGAAGTTAGAAAGACAGTTAGAGTGAGTTACAATACATTTTTCAATTGAATATTTAGCTAAACTGCTATATTACACAAAAACCCCTTTATCTGCTTTTAAGCAAATGACAAGTGATTGTTGGCTAGATATTTGCAAAAATGATCAATTTTTCATTCATATCAGCCCAATAGTATAATTCCTGGCTAAAAAAAGAAAATAATACTAAAAAAAATTTAAATTATCACTGACAATAATAGTGATTTTTGCTTTCACATCATCAGTAGCTGACAGTAACCAAGCAATTAGCAGCTCCCTTTAGTTTTATGAAGTTTCTTATACAAACATCATAACTCCAAAGGTCATCCAGGTAGATTTGAGGACATTGTGGTCAAAAGACTGTTCAACATCTTTTGAAAACCAGTTCCAACAGAAGAATAGGAGCAACCCTTTTATTTATCCATTGCTCTTTAGACCAAATTCAGACAACAGTACATTCCAGCAAGTGGCTTCGCCAGTTTTCAATTAACTCTTGAAAAATGAGCTTTCACTTAAAGGGATGAGAGAAGAGAGAGATTCAGACATTCCGCTGTCTGATTGCACATTTAGTGACAGGAAAGCGTGGTGGAATTACACTCTAAAAAAAATAAATCATAGAATGGTTTAGGTTGGAAGGGATCTTAAAGATCATCTTGTTCCACACCCCCCGCCATGGGCAGCAACACCTCCCACTTGACCAGATTACACAAAGACCCATCCAACCTGGTCTTGAACACCTCCAGGGATGGTGCATCCACAGCTTCCCTAGGCAACCTGTTCCAGCGCCTCACCTTCTTCAGAGGGAAAAATGTCTTCCTGATATCTAATCTACACATAGCCTCTTCCAGTTTGAAGCCATTAGCCCTCATCCTATCACTACATGCCCATGTAAAAAGTCCCTCTCCACTTTTCTTGTAGGCTCCCTTCAGGGAGGATTCCCTACCAGTGGAAGGCCACTATAAGGTCTCCCCAAAGACTTCTCTTCTCCAGGCTAAACAATCCCAACTCAGCCTGTCCTCACAGGAGGTGCTCCATCGCTCTTGCCATCTTTGTGGCCTCCTCTGGACTTGCTCCAACAGGTCCACATCCTTCTTGTGCTAAGAACATCCAAAGCTGGATGCAATACTCCAGGTGGGGTCTCACAAAAGCAGAGTAGAGGGGTGGAATCACCTCCCTTAACCTGCTGGACACACTTCTTTTGATGCGGCCCAAGATACAGTTGGCCTTCTGGGCTCTGTCAGAAGCCAGAAATAACTCCCAGGTATACATGTAAACAATCAGTCTATGAATTGAAAAATGTATTTGTATCAATTGACATCTTATCAATGATACAGAAGTGACTTGCTTTTCTCACACAAAAGAATACATTTAATTTCCCAGTCCTGCTTTTCTTTTCCTCTTTGTTTGCTGTTTCCTTATAACAACAAACACCTAAAGGAGGTAAAGAAACTAAATAACTACAACAAAAGATTACGAAAGGAACAGCACATTTTCAGTAGAGAAACAAGGTGCAGCAGTAGGAACACACTAGCTAGCATACAGGAGGCAGAATAAGGAATCACAAAGTTCTTCAGTACTCCTGTCATAAAAGCTTTCACACATTCCCTTATAATATAAATAGCTTCACTTAGGGATACGCAGGCCTTCATTATTCAACCTCTTGTTTAAAGGACAGTATCCTTCAGCAAAGCTTCATGACACAAGACCCAGTGAGAGGATGCACAATAACTCAGAATTTCATTTGGTTTCTATCCAGACAAACTGAGGCAAATAAATTTTAGATTCAGATAAGTTAAAACCCTCCAAGTTATCAAAGAATAATTCTGCAGCCTTTTTCCAGAATCTACTTTGTAACTATCTTACAAAACATGCTAGAGATTTGCCATTGCATTTTATATGCTCTGCCTTCTCTTAAGGTGCCTCATTTTATTAATTTTCTTAGAGCTGAGGGAGCACAAGTCCCTACCTCACCCCTTCTGAGCAACAGGCCACTCAAAATTACTGCTTTCACAGGACAGGTAGTTCACCTGAGCGTCAACCTCAAAATCCATGACAGATACCTGAATATAAAAGCCTTTATATTAGATCATTCTGCCTGGCAAAAGCTCCAAGGTTTTGCTATGACTACAAAGTCTTCCATTTCAAAACACAGGGAGTTTTCAGTGGGACATCAGCTACATGGTTATGGCACTGTTGGAGCAATACAACTCTTGAAGACTTACCACCAGCTTTTACATAGGTCTTTCATATAAACAGCATTCTGCACATAAATTGAGAGACTTCAATAGAAATGTTTCCATTTCAACAGAAGACTCCTCTGTGAGTGATCTAGCTTGTCTCCAAGATCAAAGAGACTTACATTAACATTGGCTGGTTTGCAGAAGAAACCACACACAAAACCCACCCAGAACTGAAAGTTTAGCAAACTGCAGAAAAACAGACAGGGGAAGGAAAAGGAAACAGAATGAATAAATCAGATCATCCTCCAGAAATAGGACTGAATATAGATACAGATTAGCCTGGCAAACTGAACGCTTCTAGGAAGTGCTGATATGTCACTGTGTTGCCGAAATTAGAGAAACTATGTAGGAAGCAATTAGCTACTGTAGCTTCTACCTACTTAAAATGATTTTTTCAAGGCTACATTATAATACGCAGTTGGTCATACCAATTCAGTATGTAGTTGTTGGCATGAAAAATACCATTAATTCAATCCCAACTTCAAAAATCAAATTGAGTGGAGAAAAATAGCAGTTCTCTTCTTGACCTATTCCCCATTTATACTCAAATTCCATGCTCAACACACAGCTTTGTTGCACATATCGCATGAGTGTCGTCCATAATTAAAGCTTTATTTGAACCTCCCCCCTCCTTCCACATCACTCTTGGTTAGATCAAAACAGTGGAGACAAAAACTGAAACATGCCTGGGGTGCAGAAGGAGAGAGGAAGAAAGAATATTTAATGAAGTAGGTTAATGGTGGTGGGGAGGAAGGGGGTTGATTTTCACATCTCAGTACTACTGAGCCTGCAAATATTACTGAAATCACATCTGGGAACAAAGCTGTTCTTTAAGTAAGTTCACCCATGAGTGTTGCTAAGCAATGGAGAAAAAGGCGAGGGAGAGGGAGAGTGCCTGACTTCAGGATTAGAAGGATAGACAGGAGATAAAAGGCTAAAGCTTCTACATAGCCTTATTTATACGAACTTTCAAGTTCTTTGTTTTTATTGCCTGTCTTCCAAACTATTTGTACCATGATTAATCAGATCTGGTTCAGTACCTATACCAAAGCATACCCAGCACACGGAGAGTTGTGCTGCATCCTGGAGCACTGGCACAAGCAGTTACGCACCAGAACTGTCAACATCTGTCTCTGGATTAAACAGGTAAGAACCAGAGAAACTGCCCTGATGCAACTGTTATAGTATTTGCTAAATATGTTAGAGAAATAGTGCAGACGCTTGCTTTTATATAATTTAAACTATGTAAGGTATGGAAAATAAAATGCTTGTGATAGCTACAGCTTGTTCTAACTCTATTCTTATGCTAGTACTTAAAGAAAGGTATAGTATTTTATCAGACAGGATAGATAAATGCTGTATCTTCACCTGACTTAAGTGAAGTTTTTCTGTCTGCTCTTTACTGGTATCTCGATATCGTAACAGTTTCTTGTTCTGCTTTAGTAAGATTACCTCCAATCTTTAGGAAAGCAACTACACATTTTCAACAGTGGACAAATGCATTGCCTCGTATATTACTTTAGGGGACAAAACATTTGTTGCCCTGTTCAGCTAAATGCCTTCATAAACCATAACATGTACATTTGTAAAGCATGCATTGTTGGAACAGTAAATTGAATTCTTTGTTTTGTTTTTACATGGCAGCAGTCTCTTTTTGTTGTTGTTGTTGTTGGTTTTGTTTTGTTTTTAAATCACCATAAATACTCCAGAATACTCATCTGTATTACTCTGAATTATATTCCATATGCTAAGGCATTTGCAGCCTTCCAGGTCATTTCATAGGCATTATACCTGTCTTTATTTGCTAATAACTCACCTGGAAACAGAGTGCCATTGTTGCTGAGTAACAGATGTCTGCATACACAGCATGAACTACTAGCATTTCTCAGTTTGAGGTCCTAGATTATGATTAACTACCTAGTCACAGTATCCTAGTTAGAGATATTATGATAGGCCTTTCCCAAAATTCAGGATATTCTAAATATATTACTTCTACAACACTCCAGCAGCATTCCTTGCACATGGGATGCATTTCCCTGACAGACAAATGGCATTTATTGGACTGAACAGAGACTAATCAAGATACAGCCTTTTATCACATTTTAATTTTGTACACCTTCAATTAATATTTTAAAAAGCAGAGACTCTGAACCAAATATTCTAAGCTCAAAGAAGCTTGGCCAATGTACAAAGGCAAGTTAAGCCATATGCTGAAGAATCACCCTATAAGTTTCCCATTGGAAGGTGATAAATGAATTACTGAGATTGGAAAGTTTCCCATGCCTAGCACATAAAATAGGTCACCTCTTGTGCTATATTTTATTTACACACACGGTCAACAACAAATCAATGGGCAGTTGCTTTTACAGCTGAACAGACACAGTCAAACCATTTTTCATCCTCCAAGAAGTCATACAGGCAGTCCACTACAAAGCAATCAAGTGGAAATATAAACTAGGATGGAAGAAAGATCCTGTGGATAACCATGTTATCAGTTTTATATAGAAAACCTCTTGAAATGGATGGTATGTAGAAAGTGTACAGAGATACATGATGTTGCATTGCTTAATTGACCTATTTTTTTTCCCTTTTGCTTTGTGTTAATGAAAAGCAAGGAAGAAGAGAAGAAGAAATCTCTCCTATCAGCAGCAGCAGGGGTTGCTGCAGGAAGATGATAATTCCCTCCTGCTACTCTGCTGACAACCACCAAGCTTCACAGAAGGAGCAAGGGATTTTAATCACAGAATTGAAAAACACAGCAGTTCCTAAAGGTTCACCTCACCCTGGTTGATTTACATTCATTTAGGATCAACTGTCTTATGGTGGAATTATGTTCTGTATGGAAGATAACAGAGGAGGACATACTCAATGCAATTTCTGGTTTGTGCATAAGAGGCCGGGTGTCTATGTATATAAAATCTTTCTGAGCATCCTGGATAAGCAGGGACCGCTGAATTCCTCAAAAGCAAAGTGCAAACTTGAGGGCTCCCTAATTCCATACTAAGTCTTTTATAAATGCTATACTTTAAAATACACAGAATTACATTGAAAAGGTGAAAATATTAATACTTGGCAAGTCAGGGTCCAATCCAGTGTCCACGGAAGTGACTTGTGATAGAGGCCTAGAGGTTTTGGCTCCAGCTTTTTCATCAGATTATCATTATAATAAAGGCAGCCCCACAATGGTCTGCTAAGATAAATGCAAATCTTGTGCCAAAGACAGTCAGGCACCCCCAAAATTAAAAATTTGAGCACACATCAGCTTACAGGCAGCAGCTCTGGGCATGTGGCACAACATCTGTTACAAAAACACTAGAAAGCAGACCTGCGGCAGGCTGGACCACTGCCAGCTCTCAAGATTACTTCCCCCACCACCTCTGACAAGGCTGTCAGTAAATGGACAGATGGCAGCCAATGCATTCACAGGATAGTTAGTTCAGTTAACAATCAAATATGCAAATGATTTCAAATTCACTCTGCACCAGGCATTGTACTTTTCTATTGACTCATTAACGCTATGTCCTAATAGGAATATAGTTTGGTATTGAGAAACTGGCGGATACTGTATTTTACAAGACAGTTTCTCTAGAACAATTTGTCAGGGAACATTAGATCCGCCTTCATGAATAAAGTCAGAATCTGCCAAGTTCACCAGCCTGATTTGTTCATAATTTTAATTCTACAGCATTTGAAGAATGGGGATGGAAACAAACATTAAGATGCAGGTCAGTTAATGGCACAAGCTGCTCCCACAGCAGAGTAGATATTAACAGCACACAGAATCACAGCAGCTCTTCTGCCCTTCCCCGCAGTTCTGCCTGCTTGGTCTGGTACATTGCACCGAGCTCTCCTGGACAGGACAGCTATCACAGGCAACCCTCTGGGTGACACTCTTGTCACCTGAGCATATGGATGTGAAGATTCATCCCTGGAAAACTAATATTTCTTGCTTTTTAATGAGTGCAATCCCTAAACAAAGATTAGCCCTCATATCTCAAGGGGACAAATAATTCAGTACTGAACACTAGCAAAATGCTTACAGGTGGACTTTTGGCCCCAGCATTACAAGATACATCTTTTAATTCTTCCTCTTCACAATTATGTCTTTATCAGTATGTTTGTAGACTTATTGACAGTGTTACTCAATTGATTTGCTTTTCCATGAAGTAGCAGGGCAAGAAGAATCTTTGAAAAAAAGAAAGATGTTTTATCTTTAAATTCTGCCCCCGCCCTTTTTTCTGTTGCATATCCATTTTATCCATCCACCCAAAATACCATGCAGATAAACAGCTGTCAGAGTAATTAACTACAATCCAATAAGTTATTTATCGCATAATTTGTTCCAACAACCATTTTATTCACCCAGTAAGTACCCTGAGAAAATACATACCACTACCCCTTTTCTTTTCCACCTGCATTAGAAAAATCCTTTAGAAGGGGAAAAGAAAAAAAAAACACAAAACAAAACAAAACAGAAAAACAACACCACACCAAGAAAAACAAGTTAAAAAGCAGAGGACTAGCAGGAGAGAACACCAAAATTAGCTCTCCCGAAGGAAGTGGGAGTTGTGCCACGGACCTGGGGGAAGCCAGCACCTCACACTTCTTATCTGTTAGCTCAGTTGCTAAGAACAGGACTGAAGAAAACTGAAAAAGTACTTCTAATGGGGAATCAAATAATGAGTGGTCTACACAGTCACGTAATACAGTCTGCCTAGAGCAGAACAAAAGATTATCTGACTGGTGCTGTGAAAGACTTACACTTTGGACTCATGCTTTGAGCTCTCCAGAAGCACAGACCTTACACTAACCAGTAGAAACTGACCTGAGTTGCACTTTACGATGATCTGGAACACTCTCTCACAGCAGCAAACCTGCCCATGGTCAGTCTACAAACATTACATAGATCTTCTGTCAGCTTTCCCTTTCTCCTATGACACTGCTTTTCTTCAGAGATGTCTGTAGAGCATCACCATAGCTATACTAGGAAAATCAGTAGCAGCAGCCAAGAACTCATATGTCCCGCTCTTCCAATTCAGACATGGAAAGCTGTTACAAAAATTTCAGGAGAACAGAAGCAAAAACTCTGCTATTGCACTGAGCTCCTTAGCAGCCTGCTCTGTGTGGCATTCCTCTTTCTTGAAAAGGAGACTGAGTCTTGTGACTATTAGTGTGTGATCACCAGAGCAGGGAAGACAGATGTAATTTAAGAAAAAAAAAAAAGTGCAAATCTGTCAAAAATGGAGACAGGGAAACAACCTCATTTTCTGGCTCAACTTTATGAAAATCTGATTAGACCTTAGTGAAATTTAATATTTGCCTTCCAGACCCTCTGGGAAAAAAAAAAAATATATAAATCTTCTGAGGTCATAAAGTATCAAGACAGGAGAGACACTACTCAACTATAGGAAAATAGCTGGAAAATAATTGTTTTTCTTGCCACTAATCTCCTGATAAGTCCACAAACAATGCCATTAAAAGTGAATTATAGAATAGCTACACCTCACTATTTTCCAAGTCAAAAATACACTTTATCAGACAGAAACTCATAAAATAATGGGAGAAGGACAGGAAAAACTAACTACAACAATAATTAACAATGCTAAACTTTATTCGTTCATAATGTAGTATTCGTTCATAACGTTAAGACAGTAATAGAGACAGAAAATTTGGCTCCCAGTGGTAACTTATCTTTTTGTTCCTACTACAGATTTACAGTTAAAATCCGGTAGATTTTAATATTATCAGCCCTTTCTGAGAACAATTCTGCTTCAAAACCACTCATCAGGCTGGAAAACCCAAGTTCCAGTCTTTTCAGCCACAGGTCTACACTTCCTTCTTCTTATCTGCCTCCTGGTAGTATCTGTCCTACATCGTCTCATGAGAGAAATGCAAAAGGCAATCTTTTTGGCTTTCCTCAAAACTTTTTCACTTTCATTGGCAGAAAATGCATAGTATCATTAGCCCAAAGAGAGGCAGCTACAGGGTGCTGCTTACTGGGTGTGATTAGCCATTCGCAGATCAACAGAAAGCTTTCACTGAGGGAAAGGGGAAGGGCTGCTTGTGGGTTTTTATTCCCATCTGTCAGCTCAGCAGCAGTGATATTGCCAAATGAAGTCTTTCTGCTCATTCAGCATCTGTGGTCTAATATTTGCCAAGAGTTTGATCTTGACCTCTTGGTTTTTGCCTACAGTACCCAGGATTCCCAGGTGGTCTCACAGCCAAACGTTAGTCTAGTTTAGGATTGCTGAGCTTGCAGAATCAGTCTGCCTTAGGCTATCTTTTGTTGATACAGTGTATACGAGCAAAACCTAGAACACTGGTATTTCTTAGATTGTTCCAATATTCTGCTTACAGTCCAATAAAATTAGGTTTTGCAGCTTTGAGAAAAGAAAACAAGCAATTCTTATCAAAATATGGCAAACTGGGAAATTAAAAAGAAAAGGACAACCAAAAGATGAACAGGTGGTAAAAATTGTAATTTTTTCTTCTAGTTACCTAACATACCGGCCATCCTGGACCAACTCATTTTTACCTTTTATCATGCTGGACAAAGTGAAACATCCAGAAGACATCAGAAGAAAAATACAATTTTAGGGCAAATCCTGATTATGGATATGCAAGTCTAAAATAATTGTAAATTGTGCATATAGCAGTACAGTTAAAAACTAGAGGATAGTCCATTTAGTTTTTTATATACATTTTCCCCCATATCCTTATTGTCACCTATAGAGTCCTCCACGTATTCATTCCAGAATTCATGCACAAACCATGGTTATGTTGCAGATGGCTGCATAGCAGAATGTCTGTGGAATAAAGTACACTGATAAAAATGATATTTTAATCATGTAATTAAAAACTCGACACTAATATTGCAATTACGATACTTGTAAAATGCATCTATGCATAAAGCTAGAAAGCTGGAATGAATGTGACAGCCTGCCTCTTATTGTACAGATGTACAACAATTCTTAATCTGTTCTTGCCTGGGCAGGTAAGAAGTTGTGTCCTATTCAAGATTAATTAGAAGGAACATATGTTCCTTGTGAATGATGTCATGTCTAGTAATATACATAAATTAATTCATGTCAGCATTGGCCATGTTGTGTCATGACTTTTTTAGGTACAGCACGTACTAGTTTTTGACCAAGATTACTATTAGTTTGCCTGTGGATTTTAGAGTTTCTGTAGAGAAAGATTATGTACTTTTACAAAGCACCAAGCAGTATGAAAATTGGTTTTTTTTGCTGTTTACTTTTTTGTGTTCAGTTTCATCTTTGCCAACTAACTGGGTTAAGAGTGTTCATACGGACTGAACAGATTATATTCTGTTTGGGCATCCATAACATTAACACAGAGTGGTTATCACAAAGCCTCAATAATAGCTACCTATTCTGAGCTTATTGCCTTGAGGAAACAGCACTGTCTCCAAACACCAAAAACAAAATAACATCACGTTAAACATGCAAAATCCAAGAAGGTCTCAGCTTCAAGCTTCCTTTGATCTTTCATAACAGAAGGAAGTGTAAACCAAGATCAAGTTTATTAAGCACAGATCAAAGTGCAGTCTAGTTCCTTCCTTTCCAACAGCAATTAAAGATTGGAGGCAAATTTCTAGGGAAAATTATTTTTATATTTATAGATTATTTTTACAATCAGAGAATGTCCTATTCTAATTTAAGAAAACAGCTTCTGGGCACTACGACCTGCATTTCTCCTAGCTCTAACTTGGAAATTGATCTTCTTCCCCTAGCATTAGGGTATGTGTTAATTGGGAGGATGGACAGTTAGTGCTCCTACTAAGAGCTAAAAAAAGTGGTTGCTGTAATACAGCAAAACTTCGAAGTCTGAGCATTATTTTAAAATATCTTATCCACAAAAGATATCCTTCCAATTGATTCAGCTTTTACTGCGAGGGATTGGTGGTGCAGGTTATTTCAAAGTTTGTTGACTATAAAAAAAAACCACACACACAAACAAAACAACAACAAAACAAAAAAAACCCCACACAAACAAGAAGAGAAAGATTTATCCAACAATGGAAGCACCTTGGAAGTTGCCTTTTGTTCCTAGCACCATGTGAATTCATAACTTAAGCATATAGCACACTAAAAACTACAGTGCACTTGGATTTCACTTTTAGGAGCAGTTTAGTCACTTTTTATACTGCAAAAATGGTAATTCTTTACAACAGTGGCATCTTGAAATGCATTATAATGCCTAATTCTTCTGAAAATTGTAGAACGCTCTTAATACAGCCTTTAAAATAAAACACAATCTAAGTACCATAAAAACCTTACAGCTTCTTCCACAATAAAATTCCTTCAATGAAAAACAGTATCTTGCAGTTTTGTAAGTCAAAGCACCAGCTGTATATGCTAAAACACAACTCCGTGTAAGCAGATGCCATTAATGACTAATGATGACTGAACTTTTTTCCAAATATGAGCCAATATGAAACCAAGGTACCTGTGAATGGTTGTTTATGTATTCGTATAAATATACTAGTCTTGAAAGAGAACAAATATTTTCATTACAATTTTGATCACCCTTCCCAGCAGTTAGGAGGAAGTCTGACGTACTCTTCCTACTGATATTCATAGCCCAGGACTGGCTGCTTCTTCACTGCCCTCAGCTTCCATCTCACTGACTTTGCTCACCTAAAACTAACGCATCCTAAAGAATTTATTTCTTAAAAGACCAGTTGACAGGTAAGTAATAAAAGCTAAAATTCTGACTGCCTTCTGTATAAAAACTAACACAGCCCTGCTTTTTCAAATTAACACTTTTACTCCCTCTTCTCCAGCTCTTTCGTAAGACCCTCTGCTACATTACGGTACCACCAGACCCCACAATGTCAATGGCTGGATTGTGTCCAGGGTTGTTCTTCTTACAGCTGGTTTCGGAACCGCAAGACAGAATGGCATTTATCCATATAGATGTCCAGCTATCATTACCATGCTATATTCAGCTCTCTCATTAGATTATTTGCTAAGTGCTTTTTAGTATAAATAGTTGTGGGGTGTTGTTTTTTTTTTTAAAAAACACATTTTCCAAAATTTCAAAAAATTATAGCTAATACAGACATATTTCCCTACATTCCCAAATTAGTTGCATAATGCTGCTGCCCTTCTGTAAAGAGAGATCACACTGGCACTTCAGAAATGGCTGCAGTTTCCAAGTGATGACAGAATTTCACATCCCCGCCCTATTCCCACCGAGTGCCAGGATCCTTTCCAATGCCTGCAGCAATGCTTTGAAGTAGGTGCAATTGCAGCAAATGCAAAAGATTAAAGGATTTTGGAGTTCATGGAGAGAGGTGCAGAGCTCGCTATCACCAACAAGATTCAACTAAACATTTTAATTTTTTATTTAAGGAATTTCATCATGAGAAGAGTTACACCATAATACCTTTCCCCAGGATATATTTTACATAACTGTCTATGTTGCTTCTGACTAAATCTGTAGATGCATATAAATGGGCATATATTCAGCCTTCCACCATCATTCTCTGAGATAGTGCAGGATCTCACCCACAGACAGCAGCATACCAAGAACTGAAAGGCTGAAATATGTTCAAAATAGACAGCAATATTACCTCATCTTTTTCTTTTTTAAGCAGCTTTCATGCAGCATGTTTGAAGAAGAAGTTTCACACTTAAAACATCCTCCTACAGGGGGAAGGAATATTTCTGACAGACATTTTCCGTTTTACTAGATGTTTCACTTATTCAATATTCTGTCAGTTTAGAAATAAGGAGTCAGGGCTTTTAAAAAGCAACTGATGACACATGAGCCCTAACCATTGTGTGTCCCCCCAAAGGGAGCTTAGCAAGCACTATTTCTTTTAAAGCAAGTATTTTTAAATTTTATTCCTTAATTCTTCAAATCACAACTGTTAACAAAGTCAAAGTTGAAGATTCAAGCAACGAAGGTTTCCACATCATTAGTCATTTCTGAATATCCTAGCAGGTGTACTGCCAAATCGCAAAATTGCATACCCCCCACAGTAATGTGAAATCTATTCACTAAGACATATTGACATCTCCTTCTAGAGGGTGCAGTATAACATAGTATCCAGCAGATTTAAGTCCAATTTCTAGTAATATACAATAAAAAACTCCCTGAAACTTTCTGATGAGTATACAAACAGTTGCAAATAAAGTAGATCAGTTGCATCAAATATTATTTCTGTTGTTGTTTAGAGATAAGGATGACAGATAAGGAAACGGAATTGGTCTTAGATTAAAGGCCTCAAATAGTGCTGAGAGGCAGAAGCCTCTTCTGTTACTCTGTTATTTAATTCTGAGTTTGTCTGCCCAAACCTCATCCTCAAGCTTGAGAGCCAACTTCTTCCTTTTCCCGATGGCATCTCTTGCCA